GGCACCTACCCCGCCTATGTGCCGGCCAGGGGCACCTCCCAGCCTCTGACTGGGTCGGAGGCACATCCAGGTCTCTGACTGGGTCAGGGCACCTCCCCGCCTCTGAGCCGGCCGGGGCACCTACCCGCCTCTGTAAGGGGTCGGAGGCACCTATCCACCTCTCTGCTGGCCCGGGGGCACCTTCTGGGCCTCTGACTGGGCCAGAGTAACCTGCCCGCCTCTGTGCCGGCCGGAGGCGCCTACCCGCCTCTGTGCCGGCCGGAGGCGCCTACCCGTCTCTGTGCCAGCTGGAGGCACCTACCCACCTCTGAGCCAGCCGGAGGCACCTACCCACCTCTGAGCTGATCGGGGGCACCTCCTGGCCTTTGACTAAGCCAGGGGCACCTACCCATCTCTGAGCCAGTTGGGGGCACCTACCCATCTCTGAGCTGGCCAGGGGCACCTACCCGCCTCTGTGAGGGGTTGGAGGCACCTACCCACCTCTCTGCTGGCCTTCCGGGCCTCTGACTGGACCAGAGCCACCTACCCGTCTCTGAGCCGGCCGGGGTCACCTACCCGTCTCTGAGCCGGCCGGGGGGCACCTACCCGCCTCTGAGCCGGCCGGGGGGGCACCTACCCGCCTCTGAGCCGGTCGGGGGCACCTACCCCGCCTCTGAGCCGGTCGGGGGCACCTACCCGCCTCTGAGCCGGTCGGGGGCACCTACCCGCCGGCACCTACCCGCCTCTGAGCCGGTCGGGGGCACCTACCCGCCTCTGAGCCGGTCGGGGGCACCTACCCGCCTCTGAGCCGGTCGGGGGCACCTACCCGTCTCTGAGCCACCCGGGGGCACCTACCCGCCTCTGAGCCGGTCAGGGGCACCTACCCACCTCTGAGCTGATCGGGGCACCTCCTGGCCTCTGACTAAGCCAGGGGCACCTACCTGTCTCTGAGCCATCCGGGGGGCACCTTCCAGCCTCTGACTGGACCAGAGCTACCTACCCACCTCTGAGCAGGATGGGGGCACCTACCTCTGTGCCAGCCAAGGGCACCTCCATGAATCTGAGCGAGCCAGGGGCACCTCTCTGTGTCTGGGCATCCTGCCCCCTGTCAGACTAGGGGCACCTACCTGCCTCAGCCCACACTACCCCCCCGACAGACACTGGAAGCACCTACCTGTATCAGTGCAGCAGAGCTGTGCCCGCCATCCTGCCCCCCGATCTCCCTCACCCACACTGACATCCCAATCACATGACCTGTCACCGCTCCGTCATGTGACCCCGGCGCCTTCTGATGAGCACACCGCTGCCATGACTACGATCTCTGGAGGAGGCGGAGCCGGAGAAAGGCGCGCGCTGTGATGTCATGCTGAGCCGGGGCTGGTAGAGGGAGAGCAGCGAGCAGGTAGGGGAGGACTACAACTCCCAGCACGTCCTCATCCACAGTGACAGAGCCGAGTCCCCGCACTCTCCTCACTAGTAGGCTTCGTGTTCCTCCACACCTGTGTGGGAAGGCTGTGATGGAAGCAGAGAGTGGTCTCCGTGTCATTCCAGTGGCTTCACTGCTTTCCCATCACTGACCTGGAACATGTATGACACCCAGGAGTGAGGACAACACTGGCAGCATGCTTGTCCAGACTGCAGAGGCAGCCAGTCAGATGGCATTATTTACATGTGGGCTGGTAATGGCCTGCCATGTGCCTCCCTCCCCCCCAGTGTGGTATTATGGAGTATGGTTCCCTGTGCACTACACGCCACCTGTCACACCGCTAGATATGAAGGCGGAACTAAACCCTCCTCTCCAGACAAGGAAGCCGCCATCTTGGCCTCTGTCTGCTGTGCAGTTGCCATTGTGCTGCACATGTGATCAGTTATGACACTTCCATCGGATTTTTAACAGTTTGGCTGAGAGCACAAGCAACTGTGCCAGTTCTCATGTATGGCGTGCCCGGAATATATAACGGTTTTGGGAGACCGTTCTAGTGATGGGTTCAATTCCACCTAAAGTTCTAGGCATGCCGGGAATGCTAACTGTCACATTTGCTTCTCAACCGAACCGCCAAACCATCCAACGTCTGGTGTCATAACTGGTCACATGACTCATGTCAATGTACAATAAATACGTAAAGTGCTTCGTGCTCGGGCACACTGCTCTGGATGGTTGTGTTTAGCACAGCCATCCAGAGCAGTGTGATTACAGTGAAGCACACAGACAGCGCCCCCTAGTAAAACACTCCCTGCACACAGTTAACCCTTTGATCACCCCTCATGTTAACCCCTTCCTGCCCAGTGCCATTAGTTTCAGTGTCAGTGCTTTTTTTTTTTTTAGCACTGATCACTGTACTGGTGTCACTGGGGATGTCAGTGACACCAAGTCAGTCCCCCCCAGTGTCCGAATGTTCGCCGCAGTCCCGCTATAAGTCTCTGATTACTAGTAAGAAAAAAAAAATCCCAGTATCTATACCGCCATTTGTAAACGCTATAACTTTCACGTAAACCAATTCATTTACACGCATTGGGATTTTTTATTTTTTTTTTAGCAAAGACATGGAGCGGAATACATTTTGGTCTACATTTATGATGAAATTTAATTTTTTAATAACAAAAAGTCAAAACTATTGTTTTTTTCTCAAAATTGTCGGTCTTTTTTTGTTTATAGTGCAAAAAATAAAAAATGCGCAGGCGATCAAATACCACCGAAAGAAAGCTCTTCTTGTGGGAAAAAAAGGACATAAATTTCATTTGGGTGCAGCGTTGCATGACCGCGCAATTGTCAGTTAAAGTAATGCAGCGCCGTAACGCAGATAATGGCCTGGCCAGGAAGGGGGGGGGGGGGATCCTCTGGAGGGCAAGGGGATACATACTTGTCATAAATAGATAAACATAAGCAGCACCATGGCAACTGCAGATCCGCAAACAGAGGCCAAGATGAAAGAGGGTTTAGTTCCAATTTAACCCCCTTAATGTGTCCCTTTAAATGGGCAGAAGAAGGTGTGGCTTCTGTATCCTGTGACCACTGTGATTGGCTCTCACAGTAGTCACATGACCAGGAGCCGCCCCACTGAGAAGCAGTGGCCGTGAGCTGTCGGTGACAACCACTGAGTGCGCCCTGAACCCCGACGCAGGGAATGATGTACAGGTATGTCACTGTGCCTGGACACGCCACCTGGTCACAATACAATGCAGGCAGACCGTACTAAAGGGGTTACGTGGCACTGCCTCTCTGAACAAACGGTACAGTGCACCAACCAGCACAGAGAACGAAGGGCAATGGTAGCCATAGATGATTCATACATTGTGTGTAAAAGAAAAAAAACTACACACAAACACAGACACACGACAAAAAAAATGAAAAAATTGAAACATGAAAAAAAATTGAAAAAATTGAAACATGACAAAAAAATGAAAAAAAAAATGATTTGCAGGTATGGAAGTGACGACGTGTTTCATGTTGAAAGCGGAAGTGATGGAACATTCTTTTGCTTCCGCTGTGTGATGAGACACCTGATGAGCCTCACTTATCATTCACCGTGTGTGTTTGCTAGTAATACGGTGTCATCTCAGAGCTTACTGAGCTTCAAAGAGGGCAGAATGTTGGTGCCGTTTAGCGGGGGCCTCTGTGACTGAAGTTGCCAATTTATTTGTCGTGTCATGAGGTTCAGTACCGCAGTACTGCAGGTTATGGCGGCATATACAGTTTCTGGGAAAATGTCATGTGATAAGCATAAGCGCGGTCGTCATGGTCAGCTGACCGAAAAAGACATTGCGCAGGATTGTGACCTGGAATAAGAAAACAACTGCTGCAAAAGTGACTGCAGAGCTCAATCTCAGTCTTCCAAAGCCCGTGTCCACAAAAACGGTGTGGAGGGAACTCCATAAGCAAAACCTTCACAGGCAAGCTGCAATTGCCAAACCACTAGTGACCGATTTGCTCCGAAGAGGAGAGAATGGTGCAACACCCATAAATCGTGGACTATCGATCAATGGAAGACTGTAATATGGACCAATGAATCAAGTTTCACACCGTTCCCAACCACCGGACATGTTTTCATGTGGCAAACACCATCCCCCTTACAGCCAAGACTGTCCTGTGCCAGTGATAAGCATGGTGGTGGCACAATCATGGTTTGGGCAGTCATATCTTGGTATTCTGCAGGCCCCATCATCACCTTGAAAGGTAGAGTCTCTGACAGTACTAATTTTGGCCGACCATTTGCACCCCATGGTGCAGACATTGTTTCCCGAAGTCATTGCCATTTACCAAGAAGATAATGCTCGTGGTTTGAGGAGCATGCAGACGAAGTCTCGCACCTTCCCTGGACGCCACAGTCGCTGGACCTCATTATTATAGAGCCACTATGGCCAATTTTGAAGAACAAGGTTCAGGCTCGGTTTCGGCATCCTTTCGAGAACTGAAAGATTTTTGCATGCAGAGTGGTATTAGATTCCATTATCCACCATCTAAGATTTAGATTTGTCAATTCCCAGAAGAATTATGTCTGCCTTGGATGCCAAAGGCAGCCCAACACCATATTGGGTAACTGTCCGTAGGGTTCAATGTTGAGTTGGCCCCGCCCTTTGCAGCTATAACAGCTTCAACTCTGTGGGAAAGCCATCCACAAGGTTTAGGAGGGTGTCTATGGGAAGGTTTGACCATTCTTCCAGAAGCACATTTGTCAGGTCAGGCACTGATGTCGGACAAGAAGGCCTGGATCGCAGTCTCCGCTCTAATTCATCCCAAAGGTGTTCTATGGGGTTGAGGTCAGGACTCTGTGCAGGCCAGTCAAGTTCCTCCACCCCAAACTCGCTCATCCATGTCTTTATGGACCTTGCTTTGTGCACTGGTGCGCAGTCATGTTGGAACAGGAAGGGGCCATCCCCAAACTCTTCCCACAAAGTTGGGAGCATGAAATTGTCAAAATGTCTTGGTATGCTGACGCCTTAAGATTTCCTTTCACTGGAACTAGGGGGCCAAGCTCAACCCCTGAAAAAAAAACCCCACACCATAATCCCCCCTCCACCAAACTTTACACTTGGCACAATGCAGTCAGGCAAGTACTGTTCTCCTGGCAACCGCTAAACCAGACACTTCCATCAGATTGCCAGACAGAGAAGCATGATCCATCACTTCAGAGAACACATCTCCCCTGCTCTAGAGTCCAGTGGTGGCGTGCTTTACACCACTGCATCCGACGCTTTGCATTGCACTTGGTGATGTAAGGCTTGGCTGCAGCTGCTCGGCCATGGAAACCCATTCCATGAAGGTCTCTACGCACTGTTGTTGTGCTAATCTGAAGGCCACAAGAAGTTTGGATGTCTTTAGCTATTGACTCTGCAGACAGTTGGTGACTTCTGCGCACTGTGCGCTTCAGCATGTGCTGACCCCACTCTGTCATTTTACGTGGCCTACCACTTGGTGGCTGAGTTGCTGTTGTTCCCAGTTGCTTCCACTTTGTTATAATACCACTAACAGTTGACCGTGGAATATTTAGTAGCCAGGAAATGTCACGGATGGACTTATTGCACAGGTGACAACCCATCACGGGACCACGCTTGGAGTCACTGAGCTCCTGAGAGCGACCCATTCTTTCACAAATGTTTGTAGAAGCAGTCTGCATGCCTGTGGCCATGGAGGAGATTGGAACACCTGAATTCAATGATTTGGAGGGCTGGCCCAATACTTTTGGCAATATAGTGTGTATATATATATATATATATATGTGGAAGCAATAGTCTGTTTGCATAGGCCCAATATACCCCCTTCTTAGTAATAGCCAACAATTAGCAGCATGAGCTTTGCTGATTGCAGAGTTGTAGATCAGACTCAGCAAGGGGTGTTGGATCTTTACAGAGCAGGGGTGGACTGACCATTTGGAGACTCGGGCACTGCCCGAGGGCCCGGGGTCAGTAGGGGACCCCATGAGATGCCCCTGGTACCTTTTTTTCATAGGCTTTTTTGAGTTTGGGCAAGGACACGGGCCCCACGATCCCCTATTGCTTGGGGGCCCCATGAGTTGTCAGTCCGCCCCTGCTACAGAGAGATCACTGCTTCCACATAGAGAGCAGGCGTCCCACTCTGTAACTGCTGGCAGAGGACAGGCCTTTCCTACTCAGGCTGTGGCTGCTTTAGAATGTAAAGGAATTGTTAAACACCAAACACCTTTTATTTTGATGCACCTGAAATGTATTTAGTCAGTTGAAACTGAAGGTTCAGTTGGGCATTAACACAGTAGTTTATCTTTTCCTGAGCTCTCCCTGTAACACGGTTTTATTGCCAGTAGATCTGATATTCCCCAGGGTGACAACATTGCTGTGTGAGTTCACTGTCTCCACTATGTGGAAGAGTAGTCTTAGACAGATATATGTATATGTAGTTTTAAAATGGATTCTAAGGTCTCAGTTACACTTGCGGCCGGGATAAGGGAGGGTTAGTAAAAAAAAATGTAGGTGCTGAGCCGTAGTTTTATTGCCTGTTCTGTCAGTCTGCTGCCTGTCTCTTTCCACAACTTCCTGGATTCCCAGCATGCTTTGCTTCTCCTTTATATGGACTACATATCCCATGATACCTTGCTGCCACAAACTGTGATTCCTGTACGTACTCTGCCCCCTGCACCCCTCCCCTCAGCACCTTTGTAGTTCAGAAGGTAGGCTCTGTGAAATGTGTTACACAGCAGTGCCTGTGTAGTGGCAAGATGTGTACCCCCATGAAGATGTGTTTTCCCTGACGCATCTGCGCATGTCACGGTTTCAGAGACGATCAAGCGATCACAGAGCTACTGCATCCGACCTCTCTCCTTTCCATGATGCTTCTATCCATCTTGCGGGTGCGTCAACTATTGATCTGCGGGATCAGCTTCAGCAGTGCATGCACTCAGTGGTGCAGCCTAAAAGGGGCTAATTGAGGCAGTTCTGTGCTATGGATGGTGATCGGCGATTGGCTACTTCTGCCGAAAACCGTGACATGCGCAGATGCGTCAGGGAAATACATCTTCATGGGGGTACACATCTTGCCGTTACACCTGCACACAGCACGTAGTGACTACATGTCACAAGATTCAGGGAAGTAAATGTGTGGGATTTTCCCAAAGTAAGTTTACTTCAACATTCAGTATAATTGGAGTAGGCTATAAACAATTGGAATACAGTGTGGATTGTATGTTATATGATTTTACACTTTAACCCAGCACAGTAGCTAGCGGAGGGGAGGGTTGTATACGTGCCATGGGTGCAATGCGTTGTGTTGTTGTACCACTGCTGAATGTGACCAATTCAAGTGAATGGAGCCGTGCCACAACCATCCTGCGTCTGCTATGTGTGCAGCTCTGTAGTGCTAGCTCATAGGGTAAAACAGACTGTGAAGAGGTGACAAAAAACCCCCCAGCCTGCTGGCAAACTCTCTCTGAAAAGCGATCCACCATGGATTTCGAAGGACAGTTAGGTCCTCCGCAGATATAAACAAGTCCTAAGAGCAGGTTGTTTTGACTGCTGGCCAAGAATCCTACTCCAGCAATCAGCTCCCCTGTACAGATTCCAACAGGAAAGCCTTTCTTTGAGTCCATTCAAGGTTCTCATTTTTAACTGGAGCCCCGATGAATGGGGAGTTCCTTTGACCCCGGAAAGACATGGACTGTCTTTTAACACAACATCAGTAAATGAATTTGGACTCTTATCTTGTAGTCTGGCGCTCCTTCCATATATGCACACTAAGAGTTCACTGGGCAGCTCTGCCCATTCTCAGGGTCACATGACTGTTTTATGGTTTTTTAAATTTATTTGTTTGTACTGCATGGAGGGTGTTTATTATTGTAAATATGATTCATGGTTAGTGTCTAGGGAAGTTCTTTTACGACTCTGTTTAGGTGTCAGATTCCTCGTTATCAATCCAGGACCCCGTACTGTATGCCTTTTTAGGTATATTTATCACACGGCATTGACAGATTTTATTTTTTTTTAGCAGGTAGATATTACAACATGGCCGATCACAATATGCCTTTCAGTTTCTCGTCTTTGGACTCATCAATCTCTTCCCTGAAGAACTGCCAGACATACGTAGACACAGGGATGGACATTGCCACCGGCGTGGCGCTGGATCTTCTGCAGAGCGGATGTAAGTTGTGACTTCATTTTCCTTGACTGATGACTTCTATGTAGATGTGTAGAACACAGACATCACTATGTGACCAGCTGGGGATCACTAGCTTTGATTTGTTGCTGAAAACACAAAATAAGGACATGTTGCATCCAACTTTGTACATTTTAGAAGTTTTTATTCTTCTTTTAGAATTATGTATATTAAAAGAATCTTTACCCTTAAACAATTAAGTTCACTTTTAGTAACATGTTCCATTCAGATTCAGGGTGTGCACCTCCCCGAGCTTTCGTTGTGACAGCATGTGAGGGATTCTCTCCCCGCACCCACTGTCACAATTTCAAAACAGCGCAGCTATGGAGGGCCACGCCCACTCAGCCGCATCATTCATTCAGTTTCCTGTGAATGAATGGATTACAAGTACCATCTTCCATTGCAGCTGATTGCTTGTATTTCCCACTTAACTGCGAGGCCACTGGTGAGTACTCTTGTAGGTCATTGATCTTTTTTGATTTCAGTGACTGTCTGCCCGTATGGGAGGTACATGCAGACAGCTATAATGACAGTCTGCAGGAGCCTGCCATTTCACCCACAATCTGCTAATCACAAGTGCAATCTTCTGCAGGCTCTTAAGAAAAAAAATAATATACGCACATTATTTTACCTGCAAAAAAAGTGCATGTATTATTTTTTTCTAAAAAGTGGGCTTATCCTTTAATATCCAACTGCATATTTAATGTCCCTTTAACAGCTTCCATACCGGGCACTTTTACCCCCTTCCTGCCCAGGTCATTTTTCAGGTTTCAGCGCTCTCACACTTTGAATGACAATTGCGCAGTCATACAACACTGTACCCAAACTAAAATTTTATCATTTTCTTCACACAACTAGAGCTTTCTTTTGGTGGTATTTAAGCAACACTGGGGTTTTTATTTTTTGCTAAATGAACAAAAAGTTTGAAAAAAACCCCACATTTTTCTTGGTTTCTGTTATAAAAGTTTGCAAATAAATAATGGTTCTTCATAAATTTAGGCCGAGATGTATTCTACTACATGTCTTTGGTGAAAATAACCCAAATTAGGATGTATTATTTAGTTTGTAGGAAAGTTATAGAGTTCACAAACTATGGGATAGATCTGAATATTGATCAGTCCTGAAGTACTGACAGCCAATCTAATTTCTTGAGGTCCAAGAATGTCAGAACAGTACAGATATCCCCCAAATGACCCCTTTTTGCAAAGTAGACAGTCTGACGTATTTCATAACAGGCATGGCGAGTTTTTTGAAGTTGTAATTTTTTTTTGTCATAATTTTTCAGAAAAGGAAAAAAATAAAACATATTGTTGCCAGTGCAGTACAGCGTCATCATATAACTGGCATGGCGGTGATCAGGGACACTGACTGGTCACAGTACAAAAAAAAAAAAAATATATTATTTTTTAAAATGTTTTTATTAGTTTTAATTTTTTATTACTTTTTTTCTCTTTTTTTTTAAGATTTTTTTTCATGTTTCACTATGACCAAAGTAGTATAATGTTACCATAGTAACATTGTACTACTTTGGACAAGTGATCAGTTTTTGGTTTTTTTTTTACACAATTTGCTTATAAGCAAAGAATTTCTTTGCTATAAGCAAGCATTTACCTGAATGACATCGCGGGGTTTTTTTTGTGCGCTTAGCTGTGATTTGGCCACGGCTAATCACATGACACAGCTGGGCTGTGATTAGTCCAGCTTGTGCATGTGATTGCTGTGACCATTCACAGCTAGACACAATAGTATACAATGGATGGCATGAAAGGAAGCCATCCATTGTATACAATTGTCATGTGACTGCTGTGATTGGTCACAGCAGGTCACATGATACTGGAAACAGGGCCGGTACACAGATCTGTCATCGCCCGTGTCCGAGGTACACGGCCAGTGAAAGATCGCGTCGTAGAGCGACCCTGCGGGCAGGCAAACTGCGCATGCCTGAAAGGACGCCATATGGCGTCCACCCGGAGGGATGAGCTGCTCGCCCAGCCGCCTTTGTGCTATTGGCCGGGCGGAAACTAGTTAAAAAATTTGGATCAAGCTGGCACAAACAAACTATTTATTGCACTTCTGTCTTTAAATAGTTTGCGCCAAGCTGGCCTAAATGAATGATCTAGTGCACTGATGGGTACCCTTGCTGGGCTCACTGTATTAACTGTATGTAGCCTCAGCTAGATATAACATACAGCGCTGTGTTCTGGCAGTGAGTCGAGGACTTGCTGTCCCATTCCTGTAATAAAACAGAGTAGGGCTGAACACTGCTCGGCCATTCACAGGAAGCTTTGTATTCTATGAATGAATACAAAGTTTACTCAGGTGGATGACATCACAAACTGCCTTCCGCCAATCAGAGGAAGCTTTGATTTCATTCATAGAATACAAAGCTCCTACTCTGTTTTGTTCCAGGAATGGGACAGCAAGTCCCCA